ACACACACACACACACACACACACACACACACACACATACACACACCTACAGCACGCAAACTTGAGACTCTCTCACCTGAACATATACTCTTGTTTGTACGCTCACGTTCACGTGGTTGGCGGGTGCTCTGGTGAGGTTTTCTTCTTCTTTCCTATCAAACTTCTATCGTCCTTATCTCCCCGTCTTCTTTTTTTATTTTTGTTACTCTCTTGTAACACCTCTAATCTTCTGGCGCTCATATGACCTTATGCAGTTGCGAGCATCGTAAAACCTCTACCTAAAACGAAACTCCACTCACGAACGTATGTAGATCTACATATACCAAAAAATAGCACACACAGACACACGGTTACTTAAAAGATGCAACTCCGACTGTGGAATGGACCTGAAAGAAGCACCGGTTATGGTGCTGCGATATATGTAAGTTACGATCCCTGGTCTGCCATGCCCAGGTTCGATGTTGGAATCCGGATGGGATCCCAAACTGTTTCTCTCACTTTTCCTCATACCGCCAAACTTTCTCTAACGGCCATCTAAGACAGTCGCCTGTGATGATAACAACAAATAACAGTAGTTTAGCAGCAGCAACAACAACAACAACAACAGTCGTAATAACGGTAACAACGCCAACGAAACACACGAAAGATCAAACGTCTAGGGACTGATGTCTGTGGTGTAGCAGCTAGGCAATTCGTTGTCGCACACAATAGACCCGAGTTCTTTTCCCGAGTGGAAAGACAATTTTTGTCAGGTGACTCGGTTTTTCTCTTGGGAATGTTGTATCCCTCTCAGCCCAGGTTGGTCCTGACAGACAGGGTCGTAAACCTGCTTTCTAGATTAGCTAAATTGCGTCGATGTTGATGCAAAAACACCTACATTTAAAACAAACCTTAACAGTAACAACCATAATAACAGTAACAACACCAATGACAACGCACACGAAAAACCACAGGTCTCGAACGCTCGCCTCTGCTAGCGGCAGATCTAAATTGTGGCGAGAAAAAATATTTAGAAAATTAACAACCATAATAACAGTAACAACACCAACGACAACGCACACAAAAGATCACCTGTTTAGGGCGCTCACCTCTGCTAGTGGCAGATCTAAATCGTGTCGATGGGGACACAAAAGCACCGACATTTAAAAAAATAATAATAACAGTAACAACACCAACAACACCACACACGAAAAACCACACCTTTAGAACGCTCACCTCTGCTTGCAGCACGAGCAGTCATCAACAACGTGTCCTTCCTTCTTTCCTTCCTTCCTCCCCCTTCCCCTTCCTCCCTTCCCTCCTTCCCTCCCTCCCTCCCTCCCTTCCTTCCTTCCTTCCTTCCTCGCTTCCTTCCTCGTCTATGTGTGACAGTGCTTGGTAGTGGTGGCGCCCTACGGGGACTCGTCCATGAATAAAATATGATTGGTAATGCTGCTCTCACATACAAACGGCTGTCTCGTCCCAGGGATGCCAGTCTGCGTCCTGGCGTGTGGGGAGTGTAGATAATGACGGAAGCGGGAGCCCTGTGTCACTGGGTCTGTCCAGAGGACATGCAACAATAAAATTGTTATAAATGATAATAATAATAATAATGATAATAATAACAATAA